CTTGTGCTACTGCTGTGTATGAATGTCCATTCACCTTGTTTATTGCTACGAAGGGGAGTGGAAACAGCAGCAGCAGCAGCAGCACCAGCAGCAGCAGCAGCAGCAGCAGAAGTTATTTCATTGATTTGTTTGTTTGTGGTTTGCTGCTGCATGCATTTGTTTGTGTTTATAGATGCATTCTTACACAGAGATAAATTTGGACTTTTATTATAAAAAAGATACAAAAGACGCCTGCAAATATTACCCCGAAAATGTGGGTCCTCAGCAGCTTGTCTGCAATAAACACAAACCCCTCCTAAACCCTAAACCCTAAACCCTAGACTCTAAACCCTAAACCCTAGACCCTAAACCCTAGGTTTAAGGCGAAGAAGCGAGTGAGTATTTGTTGTGTTTTGTTGTGTTCTTTTGCTGCTGCTGCAGGTGAACCTGCGTAACTTTTGTTACTATATGGTGGTGCCTTCGCTTGTCTATGAGCCGCACTTTCCGCGGGGCAAAGGCTTTCGGCTTTCTTACTTTCTCTGGAAACTCGTCTCGCTCGCGAGTGCTATGGTCGGTGGCAGCGACAACTCTATCAAACCCGAAACTTTATATATTTAATATAATATAATGTAATACAATATAATATAATGTAATATAATGTAATATAATATAATGTAATATAATGTAATATAATATAATGTAATATAATGTAATATAATATATTTCATCAGACACAGCATCAATACCTCTCTCTATGATACCAGCATCATATATACTCATCGGGGCTAGGGTTTATTATCTAGGGTTTAGGATTTGGGGGTTTAGGGTTTAGAATGCCCTTTGGGGGAGGCTTTATCTTCAGCGGCGGGAGGGGGGGATTTCGTTGTTTATTTTTTTATAATGAGTTTTTTTGTATTGTGCATGTGTGTTTTTGTTTTTTTTTTTTGTTTGTTTCTGTACAGACGGTGATGTATTTGGCTTGTACTTCTTATTTGATTCCAACGATAAGCCGCTCTCCGCAGGTGTCGCTGATGGAGGCTATTTTTAGTTTAATATTTCCTTTTTTGTTTCTTGATTTGCTCGTTTTCTTTATCCTTTTTGAATGCATTTGTAACCTCCTAGCAGAAGTGACGAACTTCGGAAACCGCGATTTCTACCACGTGAGAGTTTCTGCAAAAATAGTTTCGTTTCTAGGCCTATGGATATGATAGTATACAGAAACATTTTATTTATTATGAATACTATTTGTTAAATGTTTCCTTTTTCCGCATAAATATAAATACGGAGAAAAATCGTTTGTATATTCGAGAGTTGAACAAAAAAAAATTCAACTTTGTGAAAAGTGAAGAGTGGTGCCGCCAGCCAGATGCAGAAACCCGTCCGAGCTGCGCATACACCCTGGGGTGTACGTGCGACTTGTATTGCAGGACTGGTGGAATAGCACCAACTGGGACGAATACTCGCGAAAATGGAATCGCCCAGTTCATAAATTCTTGCTGAGACACGTCTACATGGAAACTCAGCAGAAATATCGAGTAAGATATTACAATATGTTCACTAACAAGCAAAACAGAGAACGAAACGTCATCTCCATTCTCGCTGAGTTGCGATCTCCCCGCAAGAATCTGCTGTATATTCACTTCAAATGATGTTTTTTTGTTTTGCTTTTTGTTTTTATTTGTTTGGCTGTGCAGTGGAGTCAACGGAGCGCCGCAGTGGCCACTTTTCTGTTTTCTGCTCTTTTGCATGAAATGATAATGGTGAGTTGCGGCCCAGTCGTTTCTCTCCCGTTTCAGTAGCAGCAGACCTCAAACTCGTGTTCTTTGTTATTGCAAGGAAAATAGCTGTCTACCAGTGAAAACTATTGAACGCGTTACTGCATAGATTCAGTTTGATTGGGGACGGACGAGAGACAGAAAGCAAAAGGGGAATATCGCTGGGTAGCTGCGATGTTCATGCAGGCCGTCTGCCTCCGCTTCGTTCGCTTTTACCTCTTTGCTTTGATGCTCTTCCAAATTCCTCTCGTTGCTTTGGGGCGGTACTACGCCCATAACCGGTGCCTGGGCAACGCGATATTCTGGGCTTGCATGCTGCTAGGTAGGTAGCAGTGTGAGTTGTATATATATATATATATATATATATATATAATATATATATATATATATATATATATATATATATATATATATGTATTAGATATGTATGTATTCGACAGAACTGGCGAAAGTGGAACAGAAGCGATGAACAGCACGCACTTCCGCGCAAACAATTCCACATAAAGAGATATAAATAAGTACATAAATGCATCTAAGGTGTACTGACAGCTGAATTGTGCCTCGTGTTTGTTTTTATTTTGTTTTGTTGTGTTTTTTTTAGGTGTTCCTCTGCTTGCTGTGGCCTATGGTCGAGAGTTTGCTCAGCAGTTCTACTCAGACAGCACCGGCTGGCAGCGGCCGCCACCCTGCAGCAGCGTTGGGGGCCCCGCAGTGGGGCCCCTCGTCATGGGTTAATAGGCCTCACGTTTGTAGTTTGTTTGTTTGTTTGTTTGCGCGTTTGTTTGTTTATTTGCATCGTGCTGAAACGTCTTGTCTCCGTGCATTTTCTTTTATTATTTTATTATAGCGTTCTGTGTTTGTTGCATTTGACCACGGATAGCGAGAGAGGGGGCAGAGGGAACGATGGAGGCCGTCTGTCTCCGTATAATTATAATTTTGTTTTTTGTGAGAAGAGGAAAGACAGAGAGTTGCGGTGTCTGTGTGTACACCCGGCTGACTCGGGGCTCGCACTGGGGCGTTCGCTCCGTCTCTCCTTTTCTTGCCCAGTGGGCATGCATTGCCCCGCGACAGCTTCACGCACTCTCTCTATTTTATATTCAACTCTGACTGCACGTAACGAGCAGCAATGCGTGGTGTACTGCTCAGACACAGAGACAAACAAGAACGGGAACACAAACAGAAATAGAGACAAAACAGAGACAGAAATGGAAGTAGAAACAGAAAAAACAAAAACATACAGAAAACACACTTCAGAGAGCATGCAAATGAAAAAGCTAGCCCCCAAATAAATCTGTACTGCACAAGGAGGAGGACCACTTGGCTCGTTGGGTGGGTGCAGTGGATGAGCAGAGTTTTTCTATCTAGTGTATGCCTGGATACTTGGAAAATTCAAAACATGAGTTTGTATGTATTTCTTTGTTTTTTTTTCATTTGCTTTCCTCGCGGAACGCACAGTTCTGTACAAGGGGGATTATGAGTCGATGGGCGCAGCGGTCGCTCGCATTCAACACAACTGTCGTCTTCTCCCTGTGCACACCCAGCACCGCAACAGTTGATGCTTTAAAGCTTCACAGGTTCGAATGATTTATACAAAGTTTAACTTCTCCATTGGCTGCTGCTTCACCGGCGAAGTCGTCTGCGGCCTCTGCGAAATCTATGTATAGAGGGTGCTCGTGGCTTGAGGCTGCTGCTTACATCGAGGCTCCTGCACGGTTCGCCCTTTGGTGTTTCCCTCTTTTTTTTGGCTAAAGAGTTTTAAATTGAAAACATTTTTTAAATCCTTCAAAGTCGTGGCGCCACTGAACAGACTAGCGGCAGTTATAGGGGCAGGAAGGAGCCCACCGCCTCCTTGCTCTTTTGTGCAGTTCCTCCCTCTGCCTCTTACGTGCTGCCTCGGCGGGTCTTTGACTTTTCTTTTCTTTTCTTCTTTGGTTGAATTCAAATTCAAAGGGATTCTGCCCTTTACCCCATCAGCAGCAATAACAACAGCAGCAACGCGGCGGCGACTGCTGCTGTTGCTGCTGCTGTCACCACTCAACAACACCACGCGCCAGGGTCACAGAGATCAGACAAACCACCGGCTCAGAGTCTCTAAATTGCGGTAATCCAATTAGCATTAAACTGTTGTTAATTATTTTAACACAGTCAATTCTCTCAAACCAACTCTACCCGCCTGTACACCGCAGCCGCCTCATCCCTCCGCTTTCCCGCTGTCGCCCGGCCTCCTGCAATGACCGTCAGCTCAGTAGGCCCCCCTGGCTCCTCCTGTTCCTCTTCAAATGTGAAAAAAGAAGAAGGAAAGGAGTTAAAGGATGCGAAAACCTCTGCTGCTGCTGCTGCCGCTGCTGCTGCCACGGTTGCAGGCAGCCGACGTCTGCCGGCTGAGTTCGTCGATTCACCGCGCGGCTGGGTAACGGCTTCGCCTCATTTAATTTATCCTCCTCCGTTCCCCTTCTCCTCCTCTTCTCTCTACCCCAAGCCCATCTCTGCGACCCTTCCTGCAGCCTCTGCTGCTTTTGCTTCTGCTGCTGCTGCTGCGGCTGGAGGCAAGACCAACAGCAAACACATCCGTCAGGTTCACTCACCGCTGGCCTCGCCTACTGCCACCGCTCGGGTGTCTCTGCAGCCGGCTCCCCTTTCCCCCCGCTTGCTGCGGACGGAGAGATATCATCAGGTTTCTACCAAATGGGTCGGCGCTGCTCCCTCGCCTCGTCATGTCTTTATCTCTCCTCCCCCTGCGACAACCCGAGGAGCAGCGGGAGCAGCTAAACCCCACGTAGGGCCCCTTCCCTCTTCTTTCCTCTCCTCTTCTACTACGCTGCCTTCACCTACCTTTGCGGCAGCCACCGGTGGAGGTGGGGGGAAGCCCACCTGCCCGCTGGAGCTCCCCGCCTCCCCTCTCTCCTCCTGGGGTTATCGTTTTATTCAGTCTCCGCCTCATGAAACCAGGACGGTCGCCACGCTTCGCCTGCCGCCCCATACAGCCCCAGCTGTTCTACCGATGAAGGAAGTGAACAGATGCACAGAAATGCACGGCTGGCAAAGACAACCAACACAACCCTCCATCACAACCGTAAACCCCAAACCCTAAACCCTAAACCCTAAACCCTAAACGATAAACCACAGAAACAGATTCCTGACGCAGCATTTTGAATGTTTTGGTGTTGTTGAGTGGTGACGACCCTTTTTGTAGGGTTTATGTTTGTGAGGGAGAACGAAGGGTTTCATGTATGGATGTGTTTTCTTTTTGTTTGTTTCTTTCTTTTTATTTGTTTGTTGTTTTTGCTTGTTTATTTGCAATACATTACATAATAGCTTTCGTTTGTCGTTCTGCTTTTCGTGTATTCGTTTATTGGTTCGTCACCGTTAGTCTGTTTCGCTTATCACCATCATGTTCTCCATGATTTTTTAATGATTATATCTTTTAATTTTATTTGTTTGTGTATTCTATGTTGTTTCTACAGTATATTATTGCAGACTCTCCTCACGTGCGCCCGCGGCGTCGCAGTGTATACGTAGGCCGCCGGCGAGGTATATGCGAGGATTTGGTGCTGCCGTGTATCGACGGGTTTCTGGACGTTCTTAGCCGGGTATGCAGCTGTGGAGAATCTTTTCCTGCGTCTTCTCCTCCTGCTGCTGTGGTTTACCCGCACCAGCAGCCTGCAGCAGGAGATTTCGTCTGTCTCCGCTGCGGAGCTGAAGTTAGTGCGAATGCCGTCACCAGCACGCACCCTGCTGCTGCTGCCACTGGCCTCAACATCCCCTCCATACAAAGCAAACAAAACACACAAACGCAGAAAAACACAGACGGACGGATTCCTCTGCCTACATTTCCCTATGCAGCGACCTCTTCACAGAGCGAGGTAAGGAGGAGATGGATAATGATGAGTGTTTAATATGTTTTAGTTCGTTTATAATAATCTGAAATTACTATTTTATTTTTGTTTTAGTTCCTTTATAATAACCTGAAATAAAAATAAAATAATAATAGTGGCATTTATACTTGTAAGGATGAATCCTATCTAATGAAGAAAACACGAATGACGAGCCTTTACTCCGTTTTGCTTTCTCTACTAACCTGTGCTAATCGTAACAAAACAACTCCATACAATAAATATTAATATAAATATTTATAATAATTATTACTATTATAACATAAATACACCTTCCGTTGTTTGATAAAGTCCTTTTAATAAGCGATGTTTTTTTAATTGTATTTGTCTGCTGGTGAATACTTACTGGTTTACTGTCGGCTGTAGACTGCAAACTAAATGTTTCCGTGCAAGGCTTGTGTTACTCATATATATAATAAACATATATAATATATAATGTATCTATTATATCTATTATATAATGTATCTAATGTATCTACTATATGTATGCTACACATAAGAATTGAAACTGAGACAAATGCGTACGGGGCTGGTTTGGTGTTTCGCTGCAGTAAATAAAATCAAATGAAAACAGCATTTAACCCCTTTGTGCTTTTTGTTTGTTTGGTTGCTTGGTTGGTTCGTTGTTTGTTCCGTTGGTTGCTTGCTTCGTTGTTTGTTTGTTCGTTTTCTTTGTTTTGCTGTTTGTTTGCGCGATTGTTTGTTTGTTTGGTTTTTCTGTTCGTCTTTAACTCCCCCCCAGCGTCCGTTTGTTGGTTGCCGTTCTTGGTGGCTGTTGATTTAAGGTTATTATTTCCAGTGGTGGCGGAGAGAACAGAGGAAATTTATCTTTTTTTTTGCATTTCAATTACGTGTAGTTGTTGGTTTAATGTTCTTCTTACTATTCCCTTTCTATTTAATGAATATTTTTTCTGGCTCAATGCAGTTATTTCGTTTGTTTCTGAGACGGGGTGGAGAAACTTAGTTCCTCCCTACTGAAATACATGCTGTTTCTGGTTTGATGTTTTTGTTATTTTCTTCGTGTTTAACTCGTATTTCTTGTTAATTTTATGTAATTATTTTGCTGTATTTTCAGCTGAGACGGAAACCAGAGAAGAAAGGCGGCAGCAACTCGGCTGTGCGCACCGGCCGCCTGCGGAGTTCAGCTTTGGGGTTTCCAACGGATGACGAGGGTCTCGTGGCTCTTCCTGCTTTTTCACTGGGGGGAGCTAGCAGCAAATATTGAAATAAATATATAAATAAATGTACACACACACATACACGCAATATATACACAAAAATTCATGCAGTGCACGCAGGTACTGGCGGTGCTGCTTTTTCTTTGCACAGCGCTGCTGGCTTTTGGCTGGCTTTCAGGTACTTATTTTTACTCTTATTATCATTATTATTATTATTATTATTGTTTGCCTTCAAAGGAAATACAAAACAGGTATCATATGCAGATGCAGTGAGCTAGGGACGAGAAATATGAATATAGAAAAGGAAACAAAACAGAAAGAAAAACAGAATTAAGATAGACAAACAGAACAAAGGCAAATAGGCAGAACAAAGACAAACAAATATAGCGAAGAAGGCTAAACAGAAGAAGTGTAGATAGGCCGACGGCAGATAGACAGAACATCGAAAGAAAGAAAACAGGGCCAGACAAACAGAACAAAGAAAGATAGCCGGTAGAAACCCAGGTAAACACTGTAGACTTCTCCCGCCCTACCCCTGTAGCTGTACACTGACTGCAAGCTCCATTATACTATGACTGGAGTTTCCTATATAAAAGCAACGCTACGCAGAACGGAGCGGTCTGTGCAATGCAGATAAAGATGAACATACAGAGGAAACGATCGACATAACCAGATGAAGCGAGAAAGCGTAGCACCAACTACGAAGATGGGTTAATCAAGGAGAGTTTGTCGCTGTTGTGCGTGCCTCTTTCTTTTCTTTGTCGAGCTTAAAAGAGGTCAACAGTCCCCATGAGCGCTTCATCAACGAGAACAACAATGTGTAGAAACAGGTCGAGCTGAGGGGCAGTGGCCGCGAGCCAGAACAGAGGGGTTTGCAGCATTGGCTGCACTCCATGAACAATAACACAACACGAACGCCTGCCGATGTCATACCCCGGCTCCTCAATCACCTGCAGCTTCTTGCGAAGCTGGTCCTCCAGCGGGTCGTCGCAGCTGTTGCCGCCCGCTGTTGCTGCTGCTGCTGAGGATGATGCTGGCTGCTCCGAACTGCTGCTCGTCTTCTTGGGGAACAACTGGGGCAGAACGTAGTGGACGAGGTCACCGAGGGTGGAGAGGGCCCCTGTGTCCGAGGAGGCAGGGCCCCCTCGAGGGTGAGAGGGTTTAGGAGCAGCAGGAGCATCAGCAGCAGATGATGATGACCCCTTTGATGTCTCTTCGCTGCCTAGATGATTTGCCTCGTTTCCGCTTTGTTTGAACGGGTTGCAGATGTCGTCAAGGGTGCTGGCTGGAGTACTGAATCTGCTGGTCTGAAAGCAGGGAAAGCTGAGAGAAAGCTCGAAGCAAGGCGGCCCACAAATGTACAGCCGCACAGGAATACGGCGGAAGTGTCTGGGGGTCATAGGCGGCAGCAGCTGACTGCAGCCCTCAAGGAAATCTGCAATCGCCCCGGTGCGTGAGGCGGTGAGCAGCTGCATTTCAGCTGCCTTGGGGAGTCGCTGGAAAGGCACTGCAGACCCGTTGATGATGTAGGTCGCCTGCTTGAGGGAGTTGATGAAGAAACTCTCGAAGCCAGCCCAGCCAACGAACCCCGGAGAAGAAAACACTTTGGTTGAACCTCCGCTGAGGTAGCTGGAGGCCGAGCCGTGAAAATGAATCGTCAAACACCAGGGCAGCTGCACGTCACACCCGCAGGCCGCCAACTCATGAAAACCCGCGTCTGCTGCTGAGCAATCTGCAACAGAAGCAGTCAGCCGCTGGGCTCGTCCCCCCTTCATGGAGCTCAATATGTCGAACGCAACGCCAATCGGCAGCCGCCAGTCAATCGGTATTCCGCCAAAGTCGAAGAACGGCGATGTCGGCTGGCCAAAGGACGGCTGGATGTACGGCTTGAAATGCTCGTGGCACTTGTCTATCAACGTAGGCAAATACGAAACGCGAGGCACAAATATGTAGAGGGGAGCGGGGGGCTTTATAGCCACCACCTCCGACGACTCCAAGAAAATACAAAGCGGTAAACCGCTCTGCATCAGCCGGAGCCGCTCGGACGCGTCAAACTCTACCCCATGATTCGCTTGCACTTCTTTCTCTGTTGAACCTGAGGCCACCGCATCTCGCGAAGTCGGCATCATGAACTGCGTTCGTGCGAAGCACAGCGGACTCGGTCGTTCTCCAACGAGTATGGGCTGCTGCTACCCTCAGCAGCTAGCGCTGCAGACTAACACTGCCTTTCGTTTCCCCCAGTCGTCACTGCGGTACTGGGTGGAAGAGCCCCATGACGGCCTTCAGACGCGCCCTGGCCCCAGTCTGCTGCTGCCAGTCTAGGTGCTGCAGCCACCAAGATCGTCAGGAGACTCGGCGCCTGCTTTGATCGAACCTCAGGGATGAACTAAACTCTAAGGGAGCGCCGTAGGACTCATAAAAATCGCGGAGGAGGCCGCCGTACGTCTTCCAGGCCACTAGTATCAGCAAAACAAGCAAAAAGAGGAAGAGCAATGAGACCTGCAGGCAAAATATCTACACAGGAGAAAACACAGGGAACAAAGAACGGTCTCGGATGCTGTTCATGTAACTGTAGCAATGGTTCCTGCGAAAATCACCCCCATACCGCTAGCTCAACACGAATCAACAAGCCTGCGTCGAGTTGCAGTCCTGTCAACGTTTAAGATGCCTAATAGAACACTCAAAATGCAAATGGCCCGTCGTGCGTGAAAACCTACTAGACCACCAGGGTCTGTCTCTTTGGGTGTCGAGAGTTGGAGCAAACGCTGGACATGAGTGGCCGCCTCATTTGACGAGTCAATCCCATCCGGGATTAAGACATAGGAGTGCCCCATAATGATTGTATCATTGTCTTAATATGCAAGTTAACTCATAGGACAACTACAAATGACTTGAGTTGTCGTGCGTGAATGCGCCAAACCACGCGCATGTGGAAACGGTAGCCGCTCAGGCTGAAGGACAGTTGGCATCTGAGCAGCCCCACTTTTCAGCATTGTGAAAACCGCAATATGAAATCGTTACGTTGTCAGTGGAAACGATGTAAATTGATATTTATCCCACACCTTGCGCACTGTTTTGTGTAGGCCACCATACAACATCGGCATCGCCTTGAACGGGCATGCGCGCCGAGGATACCAATTGCATCAAAGAGATAGCCTAAGAACCTCAGATACCAGAATTCTGCAACATAGTTATGCGGTTCTTGGGGCAGTTGTATATCTGGAACCATGTTCGCTGCCTGCATCGTGCAGTAGCTATAGTATAGCTCTGCTTGACTTCAATGGCGTCGGAACCTTCCACCATGGCGTCCTACTTCCTGATTTCATGATGGAGAGGGATATTGACACCCTCAGTTGACAGACTTCTGCGAGCTCTGCTGCCGTATTCTATGTGGGGTTGCCTCGATATTTCTTGAGTGCACGCAGCGGTTCTGGAGCAGAGACGAACCCTACAGCCACAAGACATTGCTGACCATGGCGCATTTCCAGGCGCTTCGTCTGGTTTCGGGGTGTTGCCTGTTTCCATTCTCATTCTTCATGGGGTTTACCCTGGCGAAGTGTCTTTCCATGCGCAGGCGTCGGCCAGAGTTTAAGGCAGCATATACTTTTTCGTTACTTGCGGTACAGGTCTTTCTGTTCAAAGCGTCTCAGCTGCATTTCTGGCTAGGGGTACTTTTCACATTTCTAGGCTACCGCTGCCTTGTCCCTGGCCTAACCGGAGGTTTGGGGAGTGGGAAAAGCTCTGTGTCTACTTTCCTAAGGTCCCAAGGGTGGACGGTTATTGACGCCGATGAGATTTCAAGAAGCATTTTGAAGCGTGGGTCGCCAGCATTTCGCCAAGTTGTCAAGGCGTTTGGAAATTCTATAGTTGATGAGGCATCGGGGGAAGTTGATAGGAATCGTCTGCGCCATATCGTCTTCAATGATCCAGCCAAACGACGTTTGTTGAACAGATTGACACATCCCTGGATAATCGGAACCATCCTCTGGCGAATTTTCAAGTTCCGAGTTTGCCTGTGGGAGCAACGCGTAATTGTTGACATTCCACTACTATATGAAACGAAATTCAATTTTCTGTGTGGCCCAGTTGCTGTGGTTTGCGTCGACGAAGATTTGCAACTGCGCCGACTGGTTCTACGAGATCGGACGTCTTCTGAGGAGCTACTGCGTTCGATGATTAGGAGCCAGCTTCCACTAAAGGAAAAAGTGTCACGAGCAGACATCGTGCTAGACAACAATTCAACTTTGGACAACCTTTTTGGACAAGTTAAACAACATTTTCCATGCTAATTTGGATTTTTGAGTCAAGGTGGGTTCAAAAATGGATTCGCCGTAGCCGCGCAAATGGTCCAAATGGGGGACCCGGTTTATGCGCATCCCTAAAGAGGTTTTAAAGACAAAGAAAAAGTAGGAGCGATGGATGAAGGATCTCACCATAGGCAGGGGGAGGCCGAGGAAGACACGGGCAAGGGTGAGGGCGACGACACCAATACATATTGTGCGCGTGCCATTCTTGACCAGGCCAAACCAACTGCAAGAAAGTGATATTTGTTGCACGGTACGAAGGAGAAAGGAGCGCCACCACGGGCTTACTGAGGGAGATCCCTGATATTCTTGTTCAATTCGCAGGTGACTGCAACTCCGCAGACGAAGCCTCCCAAATGGCCCCATATGTCGACTAAATTTAAGAGAGCTTTGCATAAGGCTTGTCATTTGCAGAAGAAAGAAAACTGCTTTACCAGTTTGCCCATAGGACAGCAGTATCATCAGAGCTCCGAAAATAGTGATGTCGAGGGTATACATATTCCGCGTCCGTTCATCAAGCTTATGCCACACCATCAATATCTCGGCAAGGATGGAGCCAACGAGACCTGTGATAGTTTGCTTTCGATGCTATTCTTCAGAGAAAACAGTAGCAACCGTTGCCTACCAAATCCTGCTGTACTTGCACCAACAGCCTGGAAGAGCAGATGTCAAGAAGTCCCATGGCATGTGCTGTCTATATGTTGCATACCAAAGAGCAGGGGCGCATCAAGACGGTGGTCATGTTCCCGATCAGAGCTGAAAGACGAATGCTTTCCCATGCCCATGCCTTCCGGAGACAAACTCTTGTTTCTTACCAGAGGCGAAGTAGAGCATGAGGAAATTTGTCCTTCCATACTTTATTTCTTTGTCAAGTCCCATATGCTGAGAAGTGAAATTGCTTTCCACTTGCAGATGCTAGACGATGTATTCAACGGCACTAACCAGTATAAAGAGGATATTGAATAGCAAATGGACAATGCCAACGTGGAGGAACACGGGCATGATTAGCCTCCATGCTTGGAAGTGTCTGGAATGATGCAACATTAGACCAGCTTGCCAATAGCTATAGTAATAGTTTAACGCCCGTTACCTAATTCCAGGTCCGTAAGTGGCTCCTAGTTGGTATAGGACACGCTCAGTAGGCTGCAGACGAACGGCTATGTAGATGGTTAATTCAGGGGTCATCCTAGTGATATCTCACCTCGAAGGCCGAGGACATTGCACAGGAGAGGACGTATACTCCAAGTTGAATCAACGTTATCAGGACAATCGACCTGTGTTAGGATATTGTCCATGAATTGTCCTCCACGATCGACTGGGAAGTAGATAGACTTGCTTGTCCATAGAAATATTTGGGAAGGCTGAAAGAAGTTGCATTAGCTAGTGATTAGAAGTTTCTCGTGTGTGTATCCGCTTACCGACGTCAATCAATCTGCCAGTCCTCGGGATTCCAGCCCCGAGGACTCTCTGCGACTCGATGTCCGACATTTTGGAGCCTTCCTGCGTTGAAGTACTATCGGAAGGAAGCAAAGTGTCCCAAGAAATATGGACAGAAATCGACTAAATATGATAAAATGATGAATGCCTCAGCTGCTCAGCTGAGATCACACGCTGCGCTGCATGTACACCCGAATGCCGGCTGTCGGATGTGCGCATCACAACATTCTTTTCAAGATTTCTGCGCGACTTGAACATCCCGCGCCATTTTCTTTATGCTGAAATGGCCTTTAATTGGTAATTAGCGTCACGTTTGGTCTGTATTTCCACCTTTGACTGGTAGTGGACGTCTCCTTGCAGCCGTAGGCTGTGAACTGCATCCGATGCGACACTCTGTAGAGAAGAACAGACATTTCTGCAGAAAGTCCATCCCTTAGCATGGTGTTTTTCCATATAATAGTATATTAGCACCGGGAAGGCTGTGAACATCATAAGAAAACATGATCGGCCATGCGCGTCTAGTGCGCCAGATCCATCGCCTAATCGGCACAACTGATGGTTTCCTCGCTGGACATGGAAGAAGAACTCCCCAGACGCGCTTCAGCTCATCTTTGACCGCGCCGCCTAATTTTTCGGAGACCCCCGACGAGGCGGACAGGGCAACTTACGGAAGACGCACTCGCAAGGAGTACTGGTTTAGCCCGGATTTGAAGTCCCCCAGTGTGGAGGTCCGCAATATCCACGCTCAGTATTAGAGGTCTCGTGTAGCCACCGCCAACCTTAGCAGCCCAAGCGGCAGATAGCTGGCGGCAGGTACACTCTCTTTGCAAAGGTTTGCCCCCCTAATGCGTAGCCAGCGACACGGACGCTGGCTGTCATGACTTCTCCGTTTTCCACTATCCTTGAATGTAGATGCTTACAATGAATGCATGCGTTTTACAGCTCCCATCCGGAAAGCAATGCTTTGTTTTCAACGCAAAGAGAGACCAAGACGGGGAGCTAGAACCTGTCCTGTGCTTCGTGGATAGGTGAGTGGGGGAACGTGTTCTGGGCGGGCCAATAAATTCTTCAAACAACACGGACTAATGGAGCTATGAAATTGAGTGTTCTGTGTCTCTGTGGTGTAACGCACTGCACAGGCAAGGGAGACGACTGATGTGGATGGACGCGGAGGAACTTCGTGAATTTGAAAAGCTGGTCAGCAACGAGCACGCATTCCATCCGAATAGTTAACAGTTAACACTGACTTTGCATGCGCTTCTAACCCGCTGTTGGAAAGGTCTGCGTGTGTGATCGGCTGGGTCCTGCAGATACCTCGTCTTGAAGAATACTTCAAGCTATGCTCAACGGATGAGCTTAGCGGGCCCGCACCCGACGCTTCAAACGACTGAAGGAACCGCACTGAATCCATTGGGGGTACACATTCGGTGCCCTCTTACACAGGGATAGTTTCAAGGCGTTAAAACATTAAATGCCTTATTGCGCGTTCCATTCGGGCTTTTTCTTGCGGCTGTGGCCCTTGAATGGGGTTGAGGCCCTGTGAGGTTGCTTAGTCCATTAATGTGGAACATAGGAGCTAAACTTTCGAAACATCGTACGCTTTTGCTTTCACATCCGCTGTGGCGACGCAAGCAATCTGAAACATATGGTAGACACGTCTCCAGTTCGCTGGAGTCGTATGAAGGTCTAAAAAACGGTAGCACGCAATTTCGGCCCGCGGGGCAGTGCCGGCGCAGCACATGCAGTACGCTACGCCTCGTGGTGCAAACTAGCCAACCGTGCCGTCAAATTGGTGTATGCTCTCGCCGACAGGTGCCTGTCGGGTAGCTTCAAAGCAAAACGCCCGCCAAACACAGAAGTCAGCTTTTCTGGCTGCTGACAACTGCTCGGGCTGAGCGCTGCACACGGCCACGAAAAATCTACTCATCGTCAAACGTGCCTTCCGGCAAATTTGGAATCGCCCAGCTGTCTTCGACGCATTCCTGAAAGGCAAGCATTGACAAGCAGCAGCCCCCCAAAACTAGCATCTGCATCGGTATGATCAGGTGTGGTGAACCGCATCATAGTAGCGAACTTGCAGTGAAACAGCAGCAGCTGAGAAACGTACTGCCGATACGTACCAGAACAAGCCTATCGTACTCAACTTTGTTGTTGACGAGCATTTTCGCTGCCTGGGGGTTGGCTGGAGAGTCAGGGTTGGGGTCGCTTAGCAGACTTTGAATTGAAGTGAGCACAGCTGCAATGTCATACATTGCGCTCCACTGGTTCTGCAATATGTCCAAACATATCTTTCCATCTGAATAAATGTTCGGATGGTACATTCGCGTCAGGAAGCGGACGTTTGGGGGAGAGGTCGGGTAGTCCTCTGTAAACTTGATTAGCAAGTGGAAGGTGCCTGTCTCCCACATGGTATCTTCTGGCCTGCAGCCGATTGCAAGACAGTTCAAACGACAAGAGAAGTAATAGCGGTTCTTGCTCTCCCTGGGGTCTGCATTTGTGTTGAACTAAGCAAGGTGTGCCGGAAGAACGGACAATGCGCACCCGTTGATGATTGCATGACAATACATCATGTTGTCCGAAAAGGGGGAGGCCTTCACTCCGTGGGGAGGGTCACGAGTGATGCGGGAGATATCCTGCACAATTCGTCGCCTCTGAGACCAAACACTCACATGATGAGTAGCCCAAATGCCAACTTTCTTCAATCGCCTGGTCTGCGCTAAGTCGCCACGGCACTCGCGCTTCCAGTTGCCGGGCCAGTTTCTCGTTCCACTATGTGCACTGCCTGCATGTAACTGGGGATGTTCCTAGGCGGGAAGGGTCAAAGAGATGAAGCGGCAAAACCCATGTGGGCAGACGCTACGCATATCTTCACTGTGCACAACAGCTGAGCCGATCGATGTGGAGGAAGCAGCTGCACAACGCGGGCCATCCGCAGCAGCAACAGTAAAGGGCTTACCGCAAAAGTCGACATCTTTCCGCCTTCTGTAAGAATGCGCTGATGACCACCCGTTCATGAGGCGATTTTCCCGCCCCCTTTTGTTAGCAGTCGAGCTGCCGAGCCATACGTGAAACTCTGAGCTCTCCTTGGGGCTCGAAAATGATGGATAGCATTGCTTTTACAACATATGTGGCTTATTCCTTGAATTCTCGCGTGTTGGTGATATCCGTGGATGCACGCAGGCAGCCTTTGTTAGCTGAGTTTACGAATCGTCGCAAGCGCGCAGAGTGCGCCGTGAATAGGCGTTGAAAAGTGTAAGCCTCATACTATTCAGTCTTGTGGATAATGTAAAGTGTCAATATTAAGAAGACGGAAAACTCTTCAGGACCAGTTGGCGGACAGAATGGCAGCGTGGGGCTTTCTATGAGCAGACGTGGACATGCAAGGTCAAGGGGAACCGCCTGCCCATCTGAAAAATGTCAATTTTCACCTTAACAATACTCCAGTAGACAGAATTAACAACATCGAAGCTGTATGGATTGTTTATGGAAAAATTTCCGGTCTTCTGCTCCGTGCGTCGCCTCAAATTCGGTTGATCCCAACCGCCGAAATGGGCATCCTTAAAGGCGAGAGATAAAGAACTCAGCGTGTAGATCTTGTTTCGTTTGGGTGTACAAAGGTTTATAATAATATATACCCTGTGTTTTATGTGTTTGAGCAATATTTCAACGTTTCCCCGTCCTCGCGACCGTTCTGAATCGACCGGCGAGCAGTGGTCTGTCTGCACGCGCCTTTCGATGGTTTGACGACTTCATAAGATTACCACCCGAGGGATATCTTCAGGATAGCTTTTAAGATGGTCTTGACACTGGTGGGACTCGGCTTAAATGATGAGCGCGACGTCACCATCCGCGGCCTTGAGGAGATTCGCGCGGCGGACATCGTCTATCTCGAGAACTACACAGCTACCCTCAATGTAGACGCCAGCCGACTTGTGAGAGGAGCATTTCATAAAATATAGAGGCATCGAACGCGATGTTTCCTCTTGACTTAGATGGGCTCAACTGCACGGTGGGGAGGGGAAACCCCGCGCGCAAGGTGCTGTGGCATGTCGTAGGTTTTGTGTACAGGAACGTTTCTTTGAGAAACCGATCGTATTAGCAGACAGAGACTTCGTTGAGGGAAAGGCAGAGGCCATGTTGGAAGCTGCAACCAGTAAACGAGTCGTCTGCCTTGTAGTCGGCGACCCTTTTTGGTGAGCCTGCGTCCCTGAAATACCAATATATGTAGCGTGAACATATCGTGTGAATGAACGAAATATATATATATATATATATATATATATATATATATATATATATATATATATATATATGTTTGCGTGTTTACGGTTAAATATATGTGTAGAATACTTGTATTATTTATGTGTGGCTATTTGCGTCCAGTGCGACTACACACGCGGATTTGTATCTGCGGGCGAGGCAGAGAGGCATAACGGTGAAAGTTGTTCACAACGCTTCAATTATGAGCGCTGTCGCCGCCAGTGGCCTGCAGGTAATCTGAATATCTTTTTTAAGAGTTTTTGATTCGAAGAAAAGTTGGATATGCGTGCAGACGAGCTATTGTTTGCTGCTTTGAACGCGTTGTGCATTTTTGCTTGAAGTTGTATCGCTTCGGCGAAACGGTCTCGATTCCATTCTTTGATGGCGGTTGGAAACCCGTGAGTTTCTACGAGAAGATAAAGAAGAACAGGGCGAACAACATGCACACGTTGTGCCTCTTGGGTGAGTAGAGGAGGAATGCGCTGCCATGCTTCGCTGAGTTTCCTTACCCGCATGAAATTTACTCAGCAGTTGCTGTTGGCGGCGTGTCGGTGTTATATTTGTGCAGATATTAAAGTTAAAGAGCAGACAGTCGAGAATATGATGAAGGGAAACGACATCTTCGAGCCCCCGAGGTCCATTGATCTCCTTTTGTTTGCTTCCCTAAGCGTTTGCTTCCCTTTATACGATGCAAAACGCAACATTTCACGGTTTCCACGAGTTATCGCCCGCTAGCGTTTTCATATTTGTTTGTTTTTTTTTGATTCATGTTGTCTGTCGTTGCATCTGACAGATTTATGACCGTCAACGTCGCCATCGAGCAGCTCCTCGAGGCAGCAGAGATGGAAAATGACGGTATGAGCACAGAACCCACTTATATTTTGTTTCATTCAGAGTTAAGTAGTTCGCCTCATCTTCCCCTAGAGTTTGGGGTGTGCACGTACACGGATGCTCGTCTCCACCTGCTACTCAGCTGCCTCCTCAACTACTGCAGGCTAGTGAACTGCGACTGCTTGGCTTTGCAGAGGGCGCACTGAATATTTTGGCGTTCGGCTTGGCGCGAGTAGGGGCAGACGACCAGGCGATTGTTTCTGGTGAGAAGAGGAAGTGCTGGCATAACAGAAGGAGGCCTGCTGCAAGGGGTTCACAGACAGAAATCGCGACCTTAGAAGTGTATAAACTCAGTAGCTAGCTCAATTTCGCACGGAGTCAGCTGGGACAACTGGAACGTGTGAGACGTGCGTTTGCAGGAACTCTTGAGGAGCTACGAAATGCCGACCTAGGGGGGCCCTTGCACAGCCTGGTGAGTCTGTATTCTGCTGGTGGTTAAGCTGGGTTCACTAGCAGTTCGTGAGGCTCTTCCTTGTCCTTATTGTTCTGTGTTTGGTTCGCCGCCTTGCGATCATCGCCGCAGGTCCTGTGCGCCCCTGAGCTCCACGAAATAGAACAAAATTTTGTCGCTTTGCACCGGCTGACGCAGTAGACTTCGGAATAAACGGCTTGGCGCGTGAAGACGTCATGAACTGATAGCGAGGTGTCTGTCATATAGTTGTTCAGTAATCACCTCTCTGTTTTTCGTTTTTAGTGGCGAACTTCGCCGTGAAGGATCAAGAGGCAGGGGCTTCTCATGCCGTCCTCGCCACGGCTGTAGCGGCTTAACAGCAACAACTACCTTTGACAGCGCAGTCACGCATTCTGAAGGACAGAAACCGAGTTTCTACATAGCTTCTGCTTTGCGTCAACCGCGCGGCTAATTGCGGCATGCTAGCATATTGCACTGATTTTCAGTCGTTTCTCTAGACAAGAAGTGCAGCAAGTGTCGTTGTTTTCTTACAAGACACTTATGTGACAAATGACTCGTTCCTGTCCAAGGACAAAAGTAGTTCTGCGACCTGTTGTAATCTTCGCCAAGGCATTTCACAGGTCCGAGAGAAGCGAAACGCGGGGCTGGCAACCCTCCTGCGCGTGAGGCTGCGAGCTCTCCACCGACGCTGACAAAGGGAAGCACTGTTGTTGGTTCTGCTAGGGCGAACGAGGCTCAGAAACCTGTGTGTGGGTCTCGCTGTGTAGAAAGACCTGTTGACACAGATGAGCACGAGGAGGAAGACCTTTCGTCTTGCCTATCCAGGCGGCATTGAACGTCCGTTCCTCTCAGCAACAGGCCGGCCTCGTTTTCCAATCAACTGAATGCATCATATGCATTCAATGCATCTCAAAAGAAGGCAAATAAAATTGCAACCAATGCACCGACGGAGCACAGGTACCAGTGCACAGACAGCAGCGGCGACGGCATTGATGCCGCTGCGCCTAGCGCCGCCTGCTTCTCCGCCACAGCCCTCACAGGCCGCCTAGGGAGCCCTCTGCACGTTGGGTCTCTGCTCTTCGCGAAGAAGGCTGCCAGGGGAACAAGGGGCCCTGGAAACTCCACCACTCCGTCGTACTGCCGCCCTGCTTGACGCGCATATGTTGCTTGCAAGTCGCATGCACCTGCTGGGCGAAGGCCGGCGGCCATGCGAGGCACCATCGGCTCCCTCCTGAACCGTGAGCCAATCAAACTACTCGGACCTCGCCTCTGCTGCGCGTGACAGCGCCACGCAGAAGCCGAAGAAATCCGCCGACGTCCACCTCGGCCCGCCAGGCCGTAGCCGAAGGCTCCTACGGGTTCGCCATCGCTCAGCACAGACGACAAGTCTGTCAGCCTGCGGCAATGAAGCAGACGAAGGAAGAGACAAACAAATGTTATACAGAGGCAAGGGAATGCAGAAAGACCCACAGAACAACGCGGATCCAAACACCAACGCATGGCGATGCAGATGGACTGGGGAGCCGGAAACTGGGGGGCACCAGAGCAGTTCCTTACTTTCGCACACTGTAGATCCTGAAGTCCTCGGGGAACAAGTAGGAGAATAAGAAATGATCGACTGCCTGCAGCTTCACCAGCGTCTTCTCCTCAAACGCAGCGGTGTCCGTATCCGCGTTTCTGCTTGTGTTGACCGCGTTGGCCCCGGCAGTCCCAACGCCGTTCGCTGGGCTCTGCTGGCTGCTGCTGCTGCTGCTGCTGCTGCTGTTGTTCGCCGTTGGGGAGCTTTCTGTCTGTACGCCGTAGAGCTTGAAGAACAAACGGCGCGTCTGCTGCATCCGCTCTTCCCAGCTCTGCAGCCCTTCGCCGCTTTCCATATGCTGCTGAGTTTCCCCCCAAAATGATGATCCACTAGGTCTCCTCTCTCTGTCCATATCTGCAGGTGTCATCGACATTGACGAGAAGCCCGAAGGTGACCTCTCTAGGTTGCTGTTCCCTGTATTTGTGTTAAGCGGCGAGGTCGTTGCCCCCGCATCCGTTTGAAATGCCTCTGTTGCCGCCCTTGCTGATTTCCTTCGTTCTTGCCCTGCCGTACTGTGTCGGCGATCGCGTCGCCGACGGCTCCATGGGTCCCGCATCAGGAAGAAACTCTTCCACGCGCCTATTGTGCAGGAGGGTTCCAGCACTTCTCGCAGCGGCAGGAAATTGTATTTCTCTGGCAAGTAAGCCGATGCAATGGTGCCGACGTCAGTCATGTGCACCTCTCCGCGATGTACGGCAGCCACCAAGTTCATCGGTGTGCTGAATTTGACGTGCGTTACACCGATTAAAATATCTTTGGGTATATCGCGCCACGGCGACAGACAGCCCAGCAACAGACAAGAAGACGAACTCCCAGACGTCTCACCACACATCATTCCGTCGTGCCAAGGCAAACTCCCATCTCCCCCCAGAGTGTCGTTCAGACCAGCCGCGGCTCTCGCATGCTGCAAGCTGTGTGGACCTCTGGCGTTTTCATTGCATGCGGCGTTCCAGAACAACTCCTGCGCCACTGCGGCTTTCACGTCTTTCAGCCGTTTGCTGAAGGGCTGATCCAGAATGCTGATATTCAACTCGCGGTCGCCCACCAACTCACGACGAAGCCCCGGGTTTTGCAGGGCTATTACTGTCAACTCCCGAACAACAGCTTGAACAAGCTCGGGGTAAAACCCCGACGTATACCCCTGATCAGACGCCAACTGCGGAAATACACTGAAGTCCATGGTGCCAACCAACAGCCGCTTGTTCCGAACCACCTGTAAATACACGCCGCAACGCCGTTCATATTAATACAAAAAAACAGCCAAACAAACACTCCCACTGCCCTCTCCCCACCGCACCCCCGCCTCTTCCTAACGAATGCAGGTCTACACTGTCCCGCTAGTTTCTATACAGTATGAAGAGCAGCGAAACCATGAATCATAGACAACCCCAAACAGGTAATAAGCGCTGGCTGAAACCACCGAGTTTCGTCTTTGAAATTTGGTGGGTTACCTCGATGAATGTATCTGAAGGAAAGAGGTCTGTGAATTCTACCGGAATGCACTGCTCGACGTCTAGCAAAATTTCGCTTTGGCAGAGATCGAGGGCAACCATTGGCAGTTTGTATTTCTCTATCAAGTGATCTCGCACCCCAAAGGCGATGACCCGCCGCAACGCGCAGTCAAACGCCAGCCGCAGCCCTGAAGAAACACAGCGGCACAGCAGCTGGAAACGGGCGTCACTTGGTGTATGCTTAGCTTTCACGAGAAGAAGAAACAGCAGAAACAACGAAAGGAAAAACAAAAACGGAAAAGAAAAGCAGCTTTATAGTCTTTTTGCAAAACTTGAATTCAACTCACCTATCGAACAAACCGCATCAGCTGCTCCTCGTTGCTGTCGATAGTAGGGGGGGACGGCAGACAAAGGGGGCCCGCTCAGGCCTCTTGAGGGGCCGAGCGGGAGCGACTGGCCGCCAAAGTTTCGCAATGAGGCGGGAGAATCTGCTGCTGCAGGAGCACTTTCTTTAGCGCTGTCTTTGACTGGCGCTGCACCAGCAGCGGCAGACTCCCACGTAGCCTTTGCATCATTCAGGCCCCCCCCAGGCGCTGGGCCAACGTCCTTTTGGGGGGGCAGTAGAGTGGAAGGGGTCCCCAGGGCGTCCCCTGCGGCGTAGCTCAGTTTTGCAGCCGCAATTAGGAGGAAGAGAAACAACAGCGTCGTCATGTTGCTGCCTTTTGCCATCTTCTTCACGCCCATGCTGCACTGAAGCGGTGACTGCGGATAGAGTTCCGCTCTGCTCTTTTAGCAGCACCTAGTGGGAGGATGTGTCGAGGCCCGTATGAAACATGTTCGTCGTCTGCAACTGAACCAAAGACTCCTATAAACCATTGCACGCAGTTCAAGCCAACACCCAGCATGACACTCCGTCCTGGTGGCGGGGCCACAGATGACGTGCCGCCGTCAGCGCTCTTTGCTTGGCGTCCTCAGCTGCTGCTGTATTCCTCCTTCACGTGGATTCCGCAGCAGAGTCGGAAACGGAGGGAAAGGCGAAGAAAGATCAGCCGTCGATGGAACGAACCGCAAGGGACAGGACGACGCCCAAGACGCCCCCAACCCGTGCATGCAGGGGAGAGAAGGGAGACAAAGGCCAAAGAAACTGCACTTTATTCGTTAAATCCTTAACAAACTTGAACCCAACTAACCAAACAAATTCGGAGAAGCGCCCAACGGCCCAAGCTGCTCGTCAGCAGGGAGGCGAGGGAACCACCGCGATGGGGGCAAGGGCTTCTTCATCCATTCCAAGAAAGGAGTGTCGGGCCCCAGGGCATGAACAAGTAGAAAGGAACAAGTATTAACACCATAATTAAAAATAAGAATGCAACTAATGCAGAACAAACAGAGGAGAGAAGACCCTGATTGGCGGGGCTGCCGCAGCAGCAGGTGGCAGCTCGACGGCCTGCAGACAGCGGGCAGAAGGATGGCGTGAAGCCCCTGCGAGCCCTCTGAGCCTCCCCCAGTGGTTCAATTAAGACCTATAAACAGATATTGATTTCCACTCTCGATACGGAATTAGTTTATATTTTTCTCTTTATTCCGTTTCAAGCCCCGGATGTCGACCCCCGTGCAGGCGCTCGTGTTCTTCTACGTGTGCCTCATCACGTGTCTGTCCTTAGCCGCAGCTAAGGCCTGACTCCAGCTGTACGCTGTTGATTGATCGAATCATAATGAATATATATCTTCACAGCAGCACTATTGGTGTTCAGTCGTCTTCTGTAGAAATTACCGCAACAGGCGACCGCCCAGCGGTGCGCCACACAGCCCCAGGGGAACTGGCGGTGTGCTGCCGACCATTGTTTTGTATTTCTCCTATTTAAACTTTGCTGATGCCGCTGGGATTCAACTCAACCACTCCTCCTCTTCTCGTTCGTGCGCAGAGGTATTTCCCACCTGCTCTCTTCGTGGAGCGGGCACTGGTGCATCGTCCTAGCCGCAACCTGTACGTACAGCTGAGGAGCTGACGGTTCGTCCAAGTGGCCAAAACTGACGCGTTCTCTTCTTCTCCATTTCCCTTTTTAAACGCAAATCGGAGCGCCCGCAAGGCGCTGGCTGGAGACAGAGAACGCCAGGGCGAGGGCGGGGCCCGACTGTCAGTCTCTGTTGCCTCCGCGAGTAAGGTAGCAGTATTTTCATTCGTCTCCGCCTCCCCCCGTTGAACAAAACGAAGCTTCTCGTACAGTGCCGTCGAGCTGAGCTGAGCTGAGCCGTCTCATCGCTTTTTCGCTGCCCCTTGTATGCGTCTTCGGGGCCCCGCGTGAGGCTGCTGCATTTTTATGGTCTCCACTGACGGACAGCACAGCCGGCAGGACGGCAGATTCTCTCTTTAATTGAATAGTGCGGCGTTGACATTTGATCGGTTGCCGACAGCAGCATCTGCTGCTGAATGCGTGGGGCTGCTGGTGGCCTTGGGGTTGTTACCTCCTCCTCAGGCTGCCTGTATTTACTGCCTCTGGCGACGCTTTTTCTTTTCTCTGTCTTTTCGCGCGACAGACTTGCAGCTGTTGGGTTGACAGCTCTTGTCGTACAACTCAGGCTGGTGTTGCCTGCGGCGGATCGTTGCGTCTCCGCTGAGCTGCATTTTTGGTGCATTTCCCTTTCGTTGCTGTTGGCCGTTTGTCTGTTGCTTTGCGTCTTTCTCTCCTCTGCAACGCTTCACTGGCCCGACAGACGTGGAGCATGGGGGGTCGGCTCTTTATTTTGATTCTTCTGTCTCCAGTTGTTGCCGGCAGCAGCCCTACTTGATTGAGCTGCCTGTCTGTACACCACAGCGAGGTATTCTGCTGTTTGCAGCAGCCCGCCCCCCCATAGTTTATCAGTTTTTGTTTCTCTTCGTCTCTATGGGCCGCAGGAGAAGCGCCAGCCGCGTGAAGCCCCGCTCTGGGGCCCCCAGCAGCAGCAGCGCAGCAGAGGCGGCCGCAGGCTGCGGGTCAGAGATCCCTGCTGCAGCAGCAGAGCAGGCGTTGGCGGGGAAGCGACAGCAGCCACGCTGGATTCGTTTTCTCGCGCGAAGGCTGCGGTGTATATACGTCAAAGAAGAACGATTGACTGCAGACTGGTGTCAGGCTGCTGCACAACGGCCGGGCCATGGCGGCCGCCGCCGCCGCCTTCGCCTGCAGCGCCGCAGACGGGGGGGGCCCCCACAGGAGCCCCTCGACAGCAGCGGGAAGCAGCAGCAACACCACCAGCACGGCAGGCGGGAGGAAGGGGTCCCTATGGGCATTTTTATTGCAGAGGATGCGGAGCTCCAAGCCACAAGAGCAGCTGCAGCAGCAGCTGCAGCAGCTGCAGCAGCTGCAGCAGCAGCAGCAGCAGCAGCAGCAACGGCACCAGCTGCAGAGATGAGCCAGGGAAGCGCCGGGAAAACCGCCGGCGACCAGACGCTCTTCGCTAGCAGCAAGAGCAACAGCTGCGGCTGCATGCAGTCGATACCTGCAGACACTGCAGCAGCCCTTGTGCATGCAACAGACCGACTGGAAAGCAGCAGCAACAACAGCAGCGCGAATAGGGTGGAGATGCCGCTGCCGTCGCCTGCAGGAGGCGTTCTCAGTGCCGGTGTCTGTACAGTTCAACCCGAGGCAGCTGAGGGCCTCGACGCCGGCGGAGATAAACCAGAAACAAACTTGGGCTTAGCGGTGGTGGGCCCGGCCACAGACCCTGAAACAGACGCTGCAGCAGCAGTGTCAACGGTGGCAGCAGAGACCGCTGCTGCAACAGAAGGAGCAGCAGCATCAGCAGCAGCTGCTGCTGCTGCTGCATCTCCTTCGCCTCCTATTTCTACAGGGAGCAGCGGGGGCGTGCCTGTGGGTCTGTGGCCGTTGATGTCAGTGGAGGGTTTGGGGTCTGAGGACTCGAGCTGTTTGTTTGCGCGGCTTGAGGAGCAGCGGCTTCGGTTCAACACACTGCAGCGGCAGGCAGCAGCAGCAGCAGCAGGCGAGGCATTCAGCTGGGACAGGAGACAAGAGGCGCAGCAGCTGTCGGCGCTGCTGGTGAACGCAGCCGTGCGGTCTATGCTGGGGCCAGCGAGCCACATGCCCTGCGTCCACGCACACGACGGCATTCAGGTCTGGAGAGGAGAGTCAGGTGTAGGCAACTTGGCTTGCAGAGGTGGGCCCCTACCTCTGTATGAATAGCAGCATGATGAGCATACACCCCGCTAACAACACAAACCACACGAAGAACATAAACACACAACAACAACACCTGCATGCATCGTACACAGTACAAGGTGTGAGAGGGGCACAGAGAGAGCAGAGCAAGGCAAACGCCGCATGCCGACAAGCCAAACAAAACACTTCTTCATACAGCTGCGGCTGGTTGTCAGGGTGCTGCTTGATGCGCGATGCAACGAGTGTTTCGGGTGTATGAACAGCTGCAGGCTTGAGAGCCGCTCAGGGAGCAACGGGGGTGTATGTATCTGTGTGGGTTGGTGTTGGTGCTGCATGCGTTTGCCTTCAGCTCGCTTTCTGCTGCCAGTGGAGCCGCGGCGCTACGCTATGTTTGCAAGTAATTCTGAGCTGCGTCTGTCGTGGGACAAGAGCGTGACGGAGCAGCACGTGGTGGAGCATTTGGATGCGGGCCACGACATCTGCTACGTGGCGTTCAGGCGGGTGGCTACGGTGTATCCGCGGGATGTAGTGACACTGCGAGTCAAATGCAGGCTGAACATGCGGCCAGGGGTTGTAGGAACGGGCTCGGCTGCTGCTGACGGCCAAGCGGAGCCGGGTGCAGGCGCCGGCGTCCTCAGCACCACTACCAGCGGCGGCGATGAACCCACGGATGCAGAGGCCACCGCATACGGATCCATGAGCTGCTCCATTCACCACCCAGATGTACCCGAGGCGTACGCTGCGTGCACAGACTCGTTGCTTGATAGGGTGTAGTAGGAGGGATTGTTATAGTTATTTTATTCTTATAGTTATTTTATTAAGTCTTTTACTTTTATTCTGTATACAGCTCAGACTAGAGCTGCTGCTCATCATACTGTTTGCTGGTGCCAATTTCACTGCTTGTTCGCTGCTCAGCGAAGCTCTTTCTTTCTGTTGTCTGTTGTTTTTGTTTATTTTGAGTTTTATTCTTTATTATTTTCCCTGTATTTCGGTGTTTGTTGCAGGCCGGGTCGAGTTCGTATGGATATCCGCATAAACGCGTATCTTGCAAAGCCAGTCTGCACGCCCTTTGGCTGTGAGTTGCTGCCGCCTCGGCTCGCCTTTCTCTGAGCCATACTGCTGTTTTTGCTTGTTTAGTGGCGTGTATGAACAGCTTACTGCCGCATTGATATATGAATTTCAACAGCTTACTGCTGCATCTGTTTCTGTAGAGGTTTACATCAACACTTGCAATTTGTAGTTCGGACTTGTATTCTTTTTGGGTAGCCAGTTTGTTGCTAGTGCCGCATGCACGATAAGAGCAGTGGAGTAGATTGGTTTACACCCTATTGTGCGGGACTTGTTTCTGCGTTCATGCTTGGGCTTGCTGTTGATTTGCTCTGCTTAGCTCAGCTCGGTCTATTCTTGAGTGTATTGTTTGTTTATGATTCTATCATTCCGCTTATTTCCTTTAATAGTGAGGGTATTGTTTGTTTATGGTTCTATCGTTTCGTCGCCTTTTTCTCTGTATTTGTGCTCGACTGTTTGCTGTTCAAGCGCGTGCTGTTCCGAGCAGATGTTATACTCTGATTGTGCTCGACGGCTGGATGCACGAAACTAATATGAAAAAACATTGCATAGAAAGTGAAAATTATTTAAAATTTGCTTTTTATATTTGCGTTTCTGCGCTGCAGTGTGGAGTGAGGTTACCCTTTTCAACGAATCTGACCCGGGCGGCTGGATACCAGCAGCAATAACGAGGACGATCTCAGCTAAGCTGCTTCCTCTGACGGTGGAGAGATTCTCAGCTCAAATATTAAAGCATTAGTAAGCAGACGACGGACATGCCTCTGCATAGTTCCGGGGTGTTCACGCGTCTATGGGGCTCTCGCTATACTTGCATTCGTCGTATTCGCATTCTCTGTTCGTCTCTGGCTTGCTAGCAACTTGTTCTTTACACGCCATCATCTGAAATGACCGAAACAGCTTCTTTAGTAGTACGCAGCACAGCCTCGGTTGAGTGAAGGACCGATGTATTTCTGGTTCAGTAACGAACGAGGTAGACAGATGCACGCAGTGTATTTAATAGGGGATAGAAAGCAGAGAATTATTTATTAAAATTTATTATTCTCATCAATAAATAAAAATATAATTATGATTTCAATTCTGCGTGTTTCCTCTGCAGCGACATGACGTGGACCGGATCAGCCACGGGCTTTGCCGCTCGCAAGCTGAAAACGAGCAAACTTGTGCTCACTTAGGTGGGTTTGTTCACACTTTTTTCCCTGCATATATATGTATAAATATATAAATATATATAAATATATATAAATATATAAACATATAAATATATATATCTGTTTGTTCATTAGTTTATTATTTCTGTCTCTGCTTGGTTCACGTTTGACGCCTGCATCGTTTGTATCTCTTCTTCTGTGGGTCCTCGTTTCTCTCTATTCAACGACAAGGAGAAGCAGAACTAGATAATAATAATAACGCCAATTGATTTATTTTGTTTTCTCGTGTTTTTGTTTTAAGCATCGTCTTATGAGTCTCTTTTAGTGCGTGAATTTATCTTCATTTTCTCTTCTTTTTTATTTTGGTGGCGTTGAATGCGTCTGTTCTTATTGTATCTTGTTGTAATCTCTGCAGTGTATTATATATATATATATATATATATATATATATATATATATATATATATATATATATATATATTACATAAAGATGCATTTTATAATGCACACGTATTATTAGTTTATGATGAATTGGCTTATCGTGGTTGTTTGTCTTGTTCTTTTGTACTTGCTTTGTTTCGTTGTTCAGATTTTGCTTTCTCGAGCCGATTGCAGACGGGCGGCATTTTTGTTAGATTTGGATTCGCAGTGGGATGACTCGTTTCTCTTTTTGCTGTCCTTTGAGGAGGGAAAGTATATATATATATATATATATATATATATATATATATATATATATATATATATATATATATATAT